GAATATGTAAAAAAAGGAGGGACTTCAAATGTTAAAGCAAATGCATATATAGAGATACCAGACATGTTTTGTAGTGTCAGGTACTCTATTTTGTAATCTGTGAAAGGGAAATCACAAATCGAGTGTCAACAAAATACATGGCATGTTGAGAGATTGAGCTCGTAAGAGAGAATTTCTCTCTCAAATTTGAATTTCTTTGGCTCTCTTGGAACTGGCAGTAAAGCAGGTAAAATTTTATGGGGAAAACCATTTTTATTTAATTGTAGCTTGTTTAGCATTAATTTCCGGGAGAAAACTAAACGACAAAGCCCCTGATTAATTTCTTTAGGTTGTCGTTCACTTTTTTAACCTGAATATGCACCGGAAACGAATTATTCGCACTTCTCTCAATTTCTATATGGGGATTTTTATCACTTCCTACCAGCAGAACAGCGCCATCTCTGTGGAAAATGGTCGAACAAAATGATTAATTCAGTTTCGGTTTTTACAAATATTTGTTTCCAAACTCCAGCATCTTCAATATTTTCTTTAGAGGACCATGCACTTTACATCTGAAATTGAAACGACAAAATCAATTTGCAATATTGCTGAGTGATTAAATTCTAGAAACAATAAGAAAATTATGCAACAAATAGAGCAAGACATTCATTTGCTAAAGGATCACTCTGTTTTAATGGTTTATTCTGAAATTCTGATGTAAAAATTTGTTCCTATGATATGGTTAATTTATTTTCTCGGTTCTCTTGCAGAATTCACGGGTTTTTCCCGGTTTTCCCGGTTACTTTCCAAATTCCCGGATATTTCCCGGTATTCCCGGATTTCCCGGTTTGCTGGCCACCCTGAATCAATCAAAATCACTTGCACCCCTGCTTTCAAGTTTGTGTGGTCGTTGGGGGCTTGTGGTTCTGAATATGGACAAACAAGCATAGATAAATTCTATTCCAACTCTTTACTGATGTAAGCTTGATGGCCCTGAAAAGGGCCGTTTTATTGAAGAGGACATCCATGGCCACTTACGCTTGGTGTGTTAAGTGTAGGTGACAGCATCACGGACCTCATTTTCCACGAACACCTTCAGCACACCTCGTAGATCAGACCGGAGATACGTCAGACACTGCGACGGCGAGCCAGACGACGGATGGTGGTTCTCGAAGAATTTGCGATGACGATTGGCACCAATATCCGGCCATGGCGATTCAAAGTTGATCAAGGTTGATCAAAACAATTTGTATCCCTGCTTCCAGTTTGATTACATGAGCATTTTGTGTGGTCGGTGGTTCTGAATATGGACAAACAGGCAGATGAATTCTATTCCTACTCTTTACTGTAATAAGCTTGGTGGCCCTGAAAAGAGCCGTTTTGTTTCCAATGTTGGTGATGATTTAACCTCTGAAACCAAACAATGCTGAACATTTACCAGTTTTTCAATAGTTTCTTGTTGAAAATCAACATTCGGAAGCATTGTTATCAATGCGTAGCCATATTTCTGATCGATTGGTGATAAAATTATTGAAATTGGACCAGGGGTAGCTGAGTTATTAACGTTCAAAATCTTTCTTAATTTGTTACATGTTTCATTTTCGGTTTTCACAAAGTGTACCCACATATAGAAATCAAAGACGTAGTCCTACGTCAAAAAATACCCGGTAGCCCTCCTAATACCCACCCTGGGACGTTCTTTCCTTAGGACCCATTATTAATCGCCTGAATTGTCCAGCAAGTTATCCGCCATTCCGGCGTGCGATTGGACTCTAGCGCCGACGTCTGAAGGAGTGTGATCCGCCAATCCGACGATCGCTTCAAAAAGCTTTGGGATACAGGAAGTAATAGCAATTCCTCGGTAATTATGTTTGTCAAATTTTTTGCCACTTTTGAAAATGGGCACTAGAAAAGAGCTATTCCATGTTTTTGGGAAGATTTTAGAATCTAGTGACATATTGAAAAGTCAGAATAATGGAGTGGTAAGTTCCAGCTCCAGGCACTTTATAAAAACTGGTGGAATACCGGCTGGTTCAGAGCCTTTGGAAGTATCAAAATTGTTCAAAGTTACCATAATATCCTGCACATTAACTTGAATAACTTGTAGATCACTAATACATTCTGGGATGAATTCAAAATAATCGCGATCACGATCATCTTCTGAAAAAGAGTTCTAAATTTCTTCTTATAAGGAAGTAGCAAATAGATTGCAGATATCTGCTGCGTTGTCACCAACCGTTTCATTAAATATTATTTTTGAAGGAAAATTGTCTGATTTTAAATTTGCCTTAACGTAATTGAAGAATTTTTTTGGACAAGATTTTATTTTGAGTTCGGTTCTTGAATTGTACTCCCAAAATGCAATATCAATTGTCATATTAAATTCATCGCAAATACGCAAATAGTTTGCCAAATTATAATCAGTGCCTTGCTTTTTATAAGTCTTATGTGCCATTTGCTTAAGATTTTTTAAGCTTATAATTTGGCTGTTATACCAAACAGGATGTTTTAAGTTACTCTGACGTTTTCTTCTTTTTAATGGAACTTTTTCATATATTTTTTTCAAATAATATTTTGTAGAAGACGTCAACAGCAGTTTCAATATTTTCTTCAATCCTAAACATCGTGATTAACTCTTACCCCAGCAGCCCTGTGTTCAATCCCAGTCGGCGCCGCCGGGGTGTTCTCAGGCATAACATCTCTGATTACGCCTAGTAAAGTAAAGCCTTTGGTCCCCGGTTCATGAGTTCATGGGATAATGAAACATTGCAGTTCATTTTCGACAAAACTGCTAATTTAGGATTGAACCAAATCAATACCATTAAGAACCAACAAAACTGCTATATTGACTTCTTACTTACGAATATTTATGAAGATTTCTGTGAGACCGAATCATTAAACCCATTGAGGAAAAAACGAAACTTTTCACACAGCAATTGAATATTCTCTATTTGTGCACAAATACCAAAGACCCAACGACTGCGAATACGAGATAATTTTTGGATACAAATTAGCAGACTACGAAAAAACCAAACATAAATTAAACACCGTCAATTGGCAAATAATTCTAACGAATGAAGGAAATGTCCAAACTGCTGTACACATCCTCTACCAAATTTTATCAGGAATATTTCTGAAGAAATACCTTTGAAGAAAAAAGACACTTCAGAAGCTCTAAAAACCCAGTCTGGTGAAAAAGACAAATAAAAAAAAACTTGAAAAATCGAAAACAGAAAGCACATTAACATTACAAAAAACACAATAATAGTGAAAATTTGGCAATCTATTTGGATATATGCGATCAACTGGATTTAGATTAACCAGTAATGCATTTGAAGAATTTAATTCAGAAACTGAACTTGAAATAAAGTCCTGTCCAAAGAGCTTCTTCCATTAACTAAAAACCAAATTAAAATCTGACGATTTTCCTTCAATAATGCATCTTGACGAACGTGTCGGGGATAGCTCGGAAAAGAATTGAAATCTTTTTGCAATATTTTTTTTTTTAATGAATCTATAGGACATTTTTCGAAGAAGAACGCGACCGCGATTATTTTGCATTTTATCGAGCAATTTCAATGGACATTGGCGTCAATCAACTTCAAGTGCTGGATATTTTGCAGGCTTTAATGAATTTAGGTGCCTCAAAAGGTCCTGGACCTGACGGAATTCCTCCAGTATTTTTAAAAAGTCTAGCAAAGGAACGCACTGCTCCATTGTATTGGCTTTTTAATATGTCACTGGAATGCGTAACCTTCCCAAAAATATGGAAAAGCTCATTTTTAGTACCTATTTTTAAATCGAGCCGGAAAGCTGACGTTCGTAATTATCGTGGAATAGCCATTATCTCTTGCATTCCAAAGCTTTTCGAGGCAATTGTAAATGAAAAATTATTTCTTCATACCAAAAATAGAATCACTTACTAGAATTTTTCCAATGCAAAAACAGCTATATTAGAAGCAAAACCCCGTAAATGAATTTAATGGGATCTATCATCCTAATCTCACAGCGCCCAAAGTCACACAAAATTACAGAAAGAATGTAAGAGCGATCCCTTATCACGAAAAGCCCCCATGTAAGCCCACCGTGCGACATCTATCGATGTTGCAGAATGCACCGAAGCACTGCTAGGTACCGAAGAAATCTCGTCCATGTTACTGCTTCTGTGACAAAACATTCTCACATCGTTCCAGCATCACTGACACACATTTCATCGAAAACTGCATCTCCCATGCTCCCTCTCACTCTGCTGGGGAACATGCTCAGATATTTCGGGAAATGCGAGCGCCGGAGAGCAATTACACGATGCTGTCAGTTTGGAGCAGGGATCGACTGGAAATTCCGTAACGGAACATCGCATTCCAGTCGATCCCGTTCAATGCTTGAACGCCCAAACTTGGTACCCCACTTCAAGATTCCGAAATTTCTCAACCCAATTTCAAACTGACAGCATCCGCCCCCTCATCTTTTAGCAAGCATTCCACGTCGGACCGCGCCGCGACGTCCGACGTCGTCACACCTTGTGTCGCTTGTAACGAGCCGCTCATGAATAGATAAAATGTGGAGCATAGTTTTGGCAGCTCACAACCACCACCACCACCACCACCACCACCTCCGTCTACCGCTGCTAGCTAGCACTGGGCTGGTAGCTACTACTTCAGTCAGTCCCCAGGATTTCTGTGAGTGACTGTTTGTCTATTATTGTTCTGCGATTTGAGCCGTGGCGTGCCAGTGTGTGTCGTTCCCAGGGAAAGCACTCCCCACCGGAACAGCGCATGCCCAGGACTCCACGTGTAGCGGTGTGAGTGTGGGCAGGAGTCTGCGCTGTAGCGCTGCAAGAGGAGCTTTCGCGGGCCGACGGTGAAAGCTTCCGCACTCGGGGATTCTCACTTTGGTGAGATGGGGCCGAGTGCTTTTGCTCACTCATCTCCCGAGTGGGGCCGTGATCCATCGGATATCACGGTGGGCTCCGACGCGGGCTCGCGAAGGACCAGCTCGTCAGTTGGGTGCGACACGTGCTGGGCAGTGGACCGATGTTTCGCGTGCGGTCTAAATTTGGGCGTTTTCCGGAGATATTCCAGTAGTTTGAGGGTCGTTCGAAGCTCGGAAGGCCTGCTAAGTAGTGCAAACTAGGACCTTAGACTTATCGGCAGTAGTTGATCGTAAATTGGGGAGCATCGTCAGTCTGACAGGCGGATTTTCCTATACGGTGTATCTTGAGTCAAGATGGATGATGCTGATAAAAGCTGACACATCTCTCGGGTTCGGTTCAGATTGGGGCGGCCGCGGTGTGGTGGAGGCCCGGCGGTGCCACCGTGTGGTGATAAAGGAGCTTTATGGCACCGATTAGTGTCGACGAGGAATTTCTCGGATGAACTCGGGTCGTCTTGCGAAGTGTCTGTGTTTCACCTCTGAGATGTGAGCAACATTGTACCCGACTGTGTGGAACCGATGACGACGACGACGGGTGCTGCTCCAGTACAGGTTGTGCTTTCGCGTGTTGAACAACGCGGTTGATCCTCCAGTGGCTGGCTGACTCGATGCCCCGGGACGTCAAGAGTGCCGCGTTTTGAAACTTAGTTGAGAGAAGATCAAAAAGGAAAGGAGAAGTGCAGTGAGGAAGGTGCAGGGCAGTTACTGTGGCTCCAGTTTGGTTTCTGGGTGGATGGAATACTGGGTCGATGAAGTGGTTCGAAGTGGTTTTTGAAGAACAAGTGTTTTAACGAGAGTGGAACGCGATGAGTGAGTCCTTCGATATCTGGAAGCAGCAATCGGTGTCGAAGCTAGCAACATGAGAAACCAGTTCAGGTCGAATTCCTGATAGCAGGAGCAGGTGTCAGCTGATGGAATGAAGAAGTGCTCAAGTGGTGAGGGAATGTGAGCTGGATAGTGAAATCCTGAAGATCGTCAAGTCGGGGGAAGATGTGACGGCGAAGAGTTGGGATTCAATCCAATGAGAAAATACTAGCGAATAATGTAAGCAAAACACGTGTAAATAAGCAAAGCCAGAGCTACTCACCAAGTGCAGTGTTTCGTGTGCGGAGGCTGCGAGAGAAAAAAAAAAGAACCAAGTGTGTTGTTGCAGAAGTGAAGGAGCAGAAACGTTGGATGTTTGCGTCGTGTGAATCGCTAATCGTAAGTTGGTCGTTTTATCGCTAATTTCTTCTTCGTACACGGTCGGGATATGACGGTTTGGGATGAATGAAAGCGCACTAGCGAACTGGTGTAAAACTGAGGGAGTAAAGTTTTGCGAACAAACTTGGACCAGATCCAAGTTTTTAGCGTCCCAACTCTGTTAATGTTTGGTATTTATGATTGTTTTGCTCAGACTTTTTCGCCTATTGTGTGATTCGGTGGAGGTGGATGAACTTTTTGGGGTTCAGAGCTTTAATGTGGTTTTGGTGGAGACAGGATGTGCTATTTTCCATCTCAAGCTGAGAGTGTACTTCCTGTGTTGTATGTGGCAGAATTGAACTGACCATGAATCGCACGTAGATCGAGAGACAAGGGTCGTCCATCGATTATCCTCTGCGAAAGCAGCAGTCGGGCAGACGAAAAATGTAACCTCCGGGTAGAAGCCGAGCTGGGGGGCGGTGATGTGGGTTCAACAGATGCTATGTGGATGAATTGAATGGCAAACCGTATCTATGGGTGGATGTGAAGATTTTGGGTTCGCCAGGGCAGACAGATTTATCGGTGACAGTTTCCCATGGTTCATATCTCGCTTATTTCATTTGATTTCATGTGCGGGGAAGGTCAACAATGAAATTCATGAGCGGTTGAATTTTTTTTCTCTTCCGACAGGCAAAGTCGAATAGCAGTGTTCAGTTTTGACTGAGGACACTGATGTTATCTGCTGTATAATAAGGATTGTATGTGTGTTGAATTCATGTGAAATCTATGATAATGCCAAGGCTCGGAGGCGGTGGAATTTGAATAGCGGGCTCGTTGTCAGAGTCAGTGATGATTCAGCCGGAGGAATATTAACAGTCAGAGTATTTTGGTGCCGAGAAGCATCACCTCGAAGTTTGCGGGCTCTGAAAGTTTGATGTACCAGTTTCTAAAATGTTTCCAACTTCAGCCTGACTGCACCGTTCTGATTTAAACAGTTGTCATTCCAGGCATGCAATAATTATTTGGATAAATTATGGTTAGGACGTATGATTTATTAAATTCTTCAGCACCTTTGACATCAAGAAACTCGTTCGTATACTATTCGGTTGACTGATTGACAATATATCCATCGTTATGAAATGGATTTAAAATCAGTGCTGTCATGGAAAATTTAGATCTGGATTTGCAAATGTGCTCACGTCAAATCTATGCACCCGCTTTAAGGAGCGTCCATAATCGTAATTAAAGGAAAGACACACTAAACTAGAGTATGGGTAAAGTATGTCTGTAATCAGTGTTGTTAGTAAAACTTTAAAAAAATCTTGTGAACCCATATTAGTTTCTCAATTCAACAGTGGATCAAAGATCTAAAAAATTTCACAGAACATTTAAAAAGGTTCCACAATTTCACTGAATTTCATTGAGTGATCCAGAAGTTCCTAAATTTTCCTAAAGTTTTCGAAACTTAAGGTCGTGGAACATCCCTCAAAATCTCTAAACTTTCCTGAAGTTTTCGTTCCTCCGTGACAATGTTTTCTAATTTATCAAAAAAGTTCTCAGAAGTGCCTTAGCGTTCGAACGCAAGCAAAATTTCTGGTTTTATAACGGTCCTCAGGACCATTCTAAGCCTTATCGACATCTTCAAAACCATGATTAAAGCGAAAATGTTACTTGGGAACAATTATCGTCATATTGATGGAATTTCCCTCAAAACCCCGCAATATTCCTGACATTTTTTAGAACATTCCTGAGAATTTAAAAATTGTCTAAAATTACTCAGAATGTCTTGAAAATTCCAGCAGTTAATGAAAGAAACCGATGTGAATATTTCTGATTCCCATTAAAAAAAAACTCTGAACATTAAAAAAAAAAAAAAAGCAAGTGACTGGAAATCTACAAACTACTCCGAAGTTCTCAGGTCACCTCTGAAGATCTGAGAACGTTGCTGAAGTTTTTTAAATTGCCTGATTTTATTGTTACGTTAAAGGACCTGCATTGAGGTTCTCTGATCTTCCATGATTTTCTTGACGCTCTCCGGAAGTTTGTGCAGTTCTCATAAAGTTCTACATCTGAATAGTTGCCCAGAAAATGTCTGGACTTCTCTTATGTTTCGGAAATATGTGTGAAGTTTTCTTAATTTCTCAGGAGTTCTCTGGATTCAAGCTTCTCAAAATTTTCCAAGAACTCATGGAGCTATCCTGGATTTAAAGAAATTATCCTTTACAGATCTTTAAACATTGTTAAAAGTCTGCACTTGCCTGAAGTTATTGGGACAGTCCTTAAGATCTCTTCCCAAGTAGCAATTTCTGTTATACGAAGGTTCTGTAGACCATTATTTAGACTTGTAGAATGCTATAAAACCTCGATAAAACTTGAAATGTTACTTGGGTAAGGTTGTTTGAAGATCTCAAGAACTAGGTTGTCTCAGGATCTTGGAATTTTTTATGAGTATTGGATTTTAAATTTAACAGTGGATCATTTGTGGCCTAAAGATCTCTAAACTCTAACAAATTTCTCAAGACTTACCTGAATTTTTCAGAATACTTTAAAAGGTTCTGTAATCGTTCTGAAGTTCATTGATCGATCCGGAATTTCCTAAATTTTTCTAAGTATTTCGTAACTTAAGGTCATGGAACGTCCCTTAAAATCTTTAAACTTCCCGGAAGTTTGCGTTCTCAGAATTCCCTTAAAGTTCCAACGCAAGTATAATTTCTGGATTTATCACGTTCTTCAGGACCATTCTAAGCTTTATTAACGTCTTCAAAACCATGATTAAACCGATTATGTTACTGTTATGAACATTTCTGGACTTCTCTCATGTTTCGAAAATATGTGTGAAGTTTTTTTAATTTCTCAGCAGCTCTCTGGACTTAAGCTTCTCAAAATTTTCCAAAAATTCATGGAGCTATCGTGGATTAATCGAAATTATCCTTTACAGATCTTTAAACTTTTCCAAAAATTTTTACTTGCTCGAAGTTATTGGGGCTGCCCTTAAGATCTCTGAGGTTGTATGATGATCTCAAGGACTAGGTTGGCTGAGGATGTTGGAATTTGTTTTAAGGGTATTGGGTTTTAATTGGTTAATTTTTGGCCTAAAGATTTTTTAACTCTAACAAATTTCTCAAGACTTACCTGAATTTCTCAGAACACTTTAAAAGGTTCCGAAATTGTCCTGAAGTTAATTGATCGATCCAAAAGTTCTTAAATTGTCCTAAATATTTCGTAATTTAAGGTCATGAAATCTTTAAACTTCCCGGAAATTTTCGTTCCTCCCTAACAGTGTTCCCTAAATTATCAAAATGTTCTCAGAATTTCCTTAAAGGTCCAACGCCAGCGAAATTTCTGATTTGATTACAGTCTTCAGGACCATTCTTATCCTTATTTACGTCTTCAAAATCATGATTAAACCGATTATGTTACTTGGGAACAATTATCCTCATATTGATGGAATTTCCTTCAAAACCTCGCAAAATTCCGGTCATTTTTTGAAAATTCCTGAGAATTTTGAAATTTTTTATAATTTCTCAGAAATTCTTGAAAGTTTCAGTGCACAGGTCAGTTACTTAAATAAACGGATTTGATAACAAAACAACGGAACCTACGGTACGAGATGTCCACGGTTCATCCATTTATTGAATTCTGAAGCATCGTGTTTAAATCTGGATTTAAACAGACCCGATGTTTCTAAATCATCTTGCCCCTTAAATGCTGCAAAGTAGACCTGGCCGTTTTCATATATTTTACGTATCTATGATGTGCAACATATACCAAATAGAATACAAAAGTGATGGAGGTATATCTATCATTTTCCAGGATGCTTTCATGAACTGGCTGTGTTGCTGTTAGATTAGTTAAAGAAACGGATTTGAAGATTTCTGATCGTTCTTCAAAAACTCTGAACGTGCCAAGAATATGAAAATGCCTGAAAATCTAAAAACTTTTTCAGGTTGATTTTACGTTAGTTGAACTGAGGTTCTCTAATTTTCTCTGATGCTCTTAAAGCTACCCGGAAGTTTGTGCAGTTCTCGTAAAGTTCTAGACCTTAAGATTTTCCCAGAAAATGTATGGACTTCTCTTATGTTTTCAAAATATATATGAAATTCTCAGTAGTTCTCTGGACTTGAGATGCTCGAAATTTTCCTAGAACTCATGGATAACAATCATCCTTTACAGATTTTTTTTTTTAATTTTCTGTACTTTCATGAAATTATTCAAGCTGCCCTTGAGATCTAAGAGCTCGTCTGAAGAGAACTAGCTGGTCGGATGTTCTTGAAATCTGAACTTCTCTGAAGTCTTCTTGACTTCCCTGATGATCTTAGAACTTCTTAAAAGCTCCTGCAGTTTCCAAGAAACTGTTGAAACTACCTTGAAGTTCTCAAAGCTCCCTTGAAGTGCCTATGATTACATAGAAGTTCTCAGATTTTACCTTACTATCCCGCAGTCTGTCCACGGAATTTTCCCGAAATCCCAAGTATTTCCTTTCATTCCTCTAATCTTCTTTGGTGTTCCTAAAACAAATTGTGGACCACTCTGAAGTGCTCTATTCTAAGGTGAAGTTCTCGTTACTTTTGTGAGGATGTTTCTGGAACTACCATGAAAATCTCATATCATCCCGACGTGTTTTGCAGTTCTTTGACTTTATTGGAGCTTCTGTGAAAGTTTAGAAATATTTATTGAGTTCTTTTAACTTTCTTAATGTTCTCTGAAAGTCTTTAATTTTTTTAACTTCTTGAAATTTCTCGCTGCCTTAGAAACATATTTGGCCCAGGCTGAAAGCCTCCCTAATGAAGAAAACCCAACCTAGTCGAACTTTCCTGACGATCTGGCAATTTTCCTAATATTCATGGAACTATTTCTAATATCTCAGAGCAACGACAAAGTTCACGTAGCATCCATTAAAATCTATAAACTGAATTAAAGGCATTTAAAATCATAAAATCTGTGATAAGTTCCTGCAATTTTCTTGAATTTAATGGAACAGTTCTTTAAATTTTGCTAAAATTGATGGAACTGCCCTGAGA